ATGAGCATCTGGTTGATTTGATTGTGACTCCTTTTCTAAACCATCTGCGTCACCGACGGTCTGTGATGCTGATGAAGAACCCTCCATTTCTTTGACTCACAAATTCTTTATTTGAATTTAGAGCTGAAGTCACTCGGAAAGAATTTTTACCAGAAATTAACAAACGAACAGAGATGTAACAGTATCAATCACATGATCTGCATGAGCATCTGGTTGATTTGATTGTGACTCCTTTTCTAAACCATCTGCGTCACCGACGGTCTGTGATGCTGATGAAGAACCCTCCATTTCTTTGACTCACAAATTCTTTATTTGAATTTAGAGCGTCCACATCATAAGTTGAAGTACTATTTGACGTTTCTTCACGAAGATCGACATTTACGTTGTGCGGTTCCGAAATATTTTCTTGGCAGAAGAATGATGTAATTCGTGGCAAAGGTTGGATTGTTTCTTTGAATTCTTTTCGTCGTCTTTTTCTTGCTCCACTAGGATATGATCTTTTCATTTTTATCTGTATAAGAAAGAAATCCCTAGACGTTAATTATTTATGAAAATATAATGAAAAAAAAAGGCTTCCTACCTTGTGATTTTTGCCTCTCGTCTTAGAAGTTAAGCCTTTGCCAGTCGACTGTGTGCTCGCGAAAGTGAACCGCAAGAGCTGCCACCCATCATAGGATTGTTGCTTACAATAAAAATTTAATTTTTGAGCGGTAGCCGATAATCAATCATAAAATATATTGTTGTATTACTACTTAATGAATAGAATGACACTTTTAGAATAAATAATTTTTGTTTAAGTTAATTTGGAACTTTTTCAAACACTTTCATATAATTTTGTTATTACATAAAATAATAAATTTTGGGGCCCCTCTAGGCCCTGGCCAAATAGCCCTGCTGGTAATCCTCCTCAATTTGGGCCTAAGTATGGGATTTGACTCAGGCTTCTAGTCTGTAACAAAATTAAACATTTACATACAGGTATGGGATTGGACTCAGACTTCTAGCCTGTAACAAAATTAAACATTTACATACAGGTATGGGATTGGACTCAAGACTTCTAGCCTGTAACAAAATTAAACATTTACATACATAGAAGCCTGAGTCAAATCCCATACCTATGTAAATGTTTAATTTTGTTACAGGCTAAAAGCCTCAGTCCAATCCCATACCTGTATGTAAATGTTTAATTTTGTTACAGGCCAGGTATGGGATTGGACTGAGGCAGGAGCAGTGAATAGGTGGAAGGCTCACGATTTTCATGTGAACCGTTCAGCATATAATAGTGTTGTTAATCTGTGTCTGAGATCTTTAATAAAATATCCACTTCCAACTAAGAAGACATAGTTCTTAATTTTAATATCGTATGTATATATTTGACAAGCCTAGAAAATCATCTATGTTGATATAATAGCATTTTGTATAGCAACAAATAAAATATTAGGGCAACAAAGATAAAAGTTCTTTTATACACCTTCTATATTGTCTAAACTACTGTAGAGTAAAAGACTGCCTTCATAAGGTTAAGCGTGTGGAGATGAAAGCTTCCTTCATGAGGTGAATCACGTACAGTAGAAAGCTTCCTTCATGAGGTGAATCGCGTACAGTAGAAAGATTCTTTCATGAGGTAAAGCATGTAGAGTTCTTCCTTCACAAGATGAATGATGTAGAGTAGAATTCTTCCTTCATGAGGTGAGTGATGTAGACTGTAGAGTATAAAGCTTCCTTCATGAGGTGAGTGATGTAGACTGTAGAGTATAAAGCTTCCTTCATGAGATGAAGTACGTAGAATTCTTCCTTCATGAGGTGAGTGATGTAGACTGTAGAGTATAAAGCTTCCTTCATGAGGTGAGTGCGTAGAATTCTTCCTTCATGAGGTGAGTGATGTAGACTGTAGAGTATAAAGCTTCCTTCATGAGGTGAGTGCGTAGAATTC